TTGATTTTTTATTCCTTATTCTGATAATCCAATTTGATTTATTAAAAATGATATGATTTTATTTGCGAAAACTTTAGACATATTCTCTTTTAATCCAAACACCTTAGGTAAACTTTAATGACTTGAAAATTAATTAATTTTCGTAACCTGATTAGTAAATGAGTATCTTAAATTCTTTCGTTTTCTAAGGCTCATTTACGGACTTATTGTCTCTATTAGCTTCAATTTACGGGGTTTCTGCTAATCTGGTTCTTATTATTTAAGATAATAGACTCGAGAGCCAGATCCTTTTTTGTACTCCATAAACTGATGTAGTTTGACAAATAAGACTGCCTGAGATGCCGAATTTTTTATGGCTAATACATCGTCCAAAGGCACTTTTTGCCGCCACTTTAGGGGCTTCATTTTTTATCGTCTTTTTTCAGCTGGGTTCTATTTACCTATACGCTAAAAGCCAAATCAACAAATCTTAGGCGCATATATATGCCTGAAATTGTCCTCTAATTTGCCCTATACTCCACCTACTACACCAAGGGATCATCATTTTTTCTAATTCCTTTCAAAACCCTCACAATTGTACGATTACTAATTCGAAGTCAGATTTTTGCATTGATCTATTTTTTTCAAGATTGAGGAATTATTTTTAAGATTGTATTTTCATGCTCCAATGATTATTGCAGAGAATTGAGTCCGGTACTCTAAAATAATCATATTATTTATATATTGGGTTTGATCATAATGTTAGACTCTATCACCATTCTCCTCTCAACTTCAGATCATCAACCTCCTAGCATACAGGAGCCTTTTCATCAAGTTTATTAATTTCTGCTCAGGTTCTCTCACCAACAGCAGCTTGTATTATTATAATTCTACGATTTTGATCCTTGCCATGCTTTTGTAGGCCATTATTTCTCTAAAGTTTCTCCGCCTAATTTATATTTCCTTCTAATTTAATTCTACTTTTTCAGATGGTTGCATCAAAAGACACCACTATTGGCTGAGTTGGTGATGGGCAGCACTCCCAGCATGATTAATTTACCTGGGCTGCGCACAAATGACTCTGCTCGTGTTGTTGCCCAGACTCTCCTTGACGTACATCGACGCTGCTTCTGTTCAGAGCGCGCTTCTGCGTTGGCTTTAACCTTGCAGGGTTCATCTCAGCATCATGGACAGCTGTCTCGCAACCACTTCATTCAACCACATCACCATCATCATCATCATCATAGTCATCATTATCTTCCCCAGCACCAGGTTTATCCGTCTCAATCACCTAATGCTTTTTCTTTATCCGGCACTCCCATACTATCATCTTTTCCTGCTTCCGGACTGCCTTATTACACTCGGCCGCCACCTCTAATTTCGCCAGCGTCGACGGTTCCATTATCAGGGATTGAGCTTTCCCCCTCCCCATCTGCATCAATATCCATTAAAATGAACACCTGCCGTCCCTCGTGTCTGTCTATCTCGGCATCTGGCCAATCTGTTACAACTTCCGAGGAGTCTCATCATTCACGTCCTATGACTTTGGGTTCCCCACGTCCGCCTACTGCTCCTCCTGTGCCACCAACTTTATCATCACATTCTTCGAGTTACTCTGCTAACCAAATTCCTTATCAACAAACTCTCCGTCATCATAATCAACAATATTCCCATTACCATCAGCAACAAAGCTCCTATCCCCAGCATTTAATTTCTCAATCAGATCACTACCGCTTTCAGGCAAATTTATATCCTCAATCTCATCTGGCCACTTCTCTTTCTCCTGGTCACCCATCCAATCGGCCACATAGAACGCTTTCTAGTACTACCTCCGCTTCGATTCAGTCATCTGAACCCATTGGCTCTAATTATTCTTGCTCGCTCTATTCGCAGGGTATAGAATCCTTACCGAAGCATCTACAATTGCAGCCACATGTCCCCTATTCTTCTGCTTTTTCCCCTTCTGTGTCCTCCATTCCCTGCCAGAGTCAACCCAATACCTATTTTAACCCATACACTACTTCTTTACCTCATCAATCTTCCGAAGCTACGCTGAATGCCCATCCACATGGATTTAGCCATTCAGGCGTACCAGTAGGAAATGAGCCTCAACTTAGTTCCCATCCTTCATCTTCCTCTTTCGCACCTCCATGTGCCTACTCATTTTCTCACTCTAACTACAAACCATCATCCACGAACCCCTATCCTCAGTTTGCTTCTCCCTCTGGAATGGTCACCTCCCGAGCTGGCCTAATCCAGTCTCCGATTGCCTTCGTTCATAATCCCGGTCATTATTCTTACACCCCGTCAGCCACAAACTCCTTTAACTCTTCTTGTTCAACTCAGGTCCTACAGAAAGCGGCTTGCCAAATACCTTATCAGGGACCCCCACCGCTCACACCCTGTTCCTCTTCGTCTTCATTATCCACTGCCTCCCTACCGGTGTCAGCTGGCAGCCTTCGTTCAGGGCTCCCTGCTCCGAGTTTCGTAGATGGCCAGCCTTCCTTTCATCGGCCTCTGCAACACTCTTCGCCAGACATGCCTGCTTCCTTGCTTCACGACACTTCCCCTAACTCCCTCTCCTCTCCTTCCCCGCCGTCTTCCTGCCATTCGGCCAACAGCCCTCCTATATTTAGTC